AACATAAAATGATCATGTTAGTCCCAGTATTTTAAGTACAACGAGCATAAATGAACTTTTTAACATTAATATTATAATAAAAGTAAAACATTATATTTATCTATTGCGTTTTAAATATTAAATTTCACTTTTCAGACAAAATTAAACAGAAATTAGAATCTCTGGCTTCGAGATATTTAACTCTTTCTAAAGTTTTCTAAAATGCTACTAAATACAGCAGGACGTCCAATAGAAGTTCTAGGAATATCATTTTCATTATCTTTGTTTATGTTTAGATTGTACTTTCCCGTACTTATTTTTTTATTTTATGATAATTTGAGGGATTCACGAGAATTGATGTAAATAAACTCAATATTATACTCTTTTCTGAAGAAGAAAAAAAACAAGAAAACGGTTAACTCTTCCGATTTATTCATCGAGAAATGGACCGTGTTTTCCCTGCGATTATCGATTCGATTGTATTCACAACGGCGAAACCCGCAGTCGCCTTTCCCTTATTCGCGCACCGACCGGAAGCGCTCGTTGCTCATCGACCACGACCTCAAATGCGTCGCCTTCGCTGTGATGACGATGACGGCGACGATGACGACGACCCGTGCATGTGGGTCGCACTTAGCCCACTTCGCCGACAGTCCCAAGTAGCGACATCATCGCACCGGTCGATTCGAGGTGATCCCACGTGAAAAATTCCAGGTCGCGATCGCGCGGTAGACAGCGCGGTGCGAGCTTTCAAGATCGCAGCCGTGTTATCTCTCTTATCGACCCAACAACGACAAATCGAATCGGGGTGTGTTCCGCCGCTGACGGACTGTCCATTCAAGTACAATACACGGATTTGGAAATCTCCGTATTCGAAGAACTCAGATTTAAACGCTTCAATAATGAAAAATAAAATTAACAATATAATTAAATGTTCATTATATTTAAGGTTATAGTTAGGACATCCGTCCTCTTAGTCTCTCCACTTCTCCTTTTCTTAAAGCGTCCGGGATTTCAAGGAATCTTCCAAATATTTTGTTTCGACTTTTTTTGCGCTACCCTGTTTTAGTCCTAATCTACAACAGGTGTAGCAAGCCTAAACATAGTAAATGTGAGGAGAATGATCGACTATGATTGGGGTCAATTTCTTATGGCTTAAAACTTACTATACACTACACTATACCTATTAATGAATAATTAGATGTAAAATAATTATTCATTTGACTGTTCTGATCAATTTGATTAATCTACATGAATCTTTGTATGTGATTGCAAACAAAATGTCTAGAGTTTTTGGCCTGTAAATTCTAGTTTTGAAAATTTTGGTTGACAATTCCAATTATATTTAACACTATATAGCAGTTATAAATAAATATACCTACGAATCATAAAGCAATATGTATCTATTTGTACTATTTTCGACTCACAATCAGTGATAAATATAATAAAACAATACCAATGAAAATTTCTGTAATGCTCAATTTTTTATTATTCTTGTATTTTTTGTACACGAAAGAAACAATTTTGTTGAAAGATCCTAAAATTTAGTTGAAAACAGATCTGAAAATAATTTTGTTGGATCAAACTAGTTATATTGGAAACTGAATATGATGAGAAATGTTGCAAAAAATGTTAATATTCTAACAACCAGTTTGAGTTTCCAACATAATTATTTCAATGGTCCAACAAAATTATTTTCAAATCTATATTCAATTTTAAGATCTTTCAATAAGATCGTTTTTTCACTGTTATTACTTAAGATATTTGTATTCGCCATTGATGTTCAACCTTAATTCTGACAAGCAAAAAAAACTTTTGGTCTGATATCAATTTATGCTTAGAAAAAAAATAGACAGAGCTTTTATAATTCTCTATTATTTGACATTACAAAATATGTGACTCTCGAATACTTTTGCTAAACAGAGGAAGCCTGCACGAACGTTCTGAACGCACCTCACGTGAGAACGCATTGTTCAGAGCCGTTGTAGATATATTACTTAAGAAACTCCGACGGAAATATTACAGGCTACACGGAACTTCCTCATATGAAGAAGAATAACGGCAGAATCGCTTCCATGCTGCCCATAAAGGAAATTAAAGTCCCTGTGTCTTAAGGGAAACGAAGTTCCGCGACTAGCTAATTGTCAGACGCGCGAAGAAAAGGTAAAGTGAATTAATTAACCCCGCGGGCATTAATTAACGCAACATATTCGTGCGCACGCGCGCGTGTGTGTGTTTACTTCGCAGCGCAATCAATAAAAAGTAAGAGTATACGCGTCGTTTCGAGAATTCAGCGGCTTCTGATTGCCGACATTCGCACCACGAGTCTTTGAGATACAAAACAATTTACACTTTCATGCCGATAAGTCACATAAACTCCCTGTATCTGCCACAGGTATCTTAAAAAAAGCACATACTGTTATTTAAGAAATTTCCTTAATTAAGACGTTGGGAGCAAGAGGTCGTGAGAGATGAATTTTCATATTTGCAGGAAATAAAAGCTAAAAAAGCTAAATTCACAAAATTCTCCTTTATCAATACGTAGATACTATTCTTGTCAATTAAAATTTTTCAATTAATTTAATATTCGGTTTTTTAATATCTCGATTACATGTATAGATTGTATATTTAAACTGGATGTAAAAAGAAAGAATACAAAAAAGATCGACTTGTGAAATCGCGTATTATGTCCGAGCACGTTTCAAGATAATAGCGATTGCCAACTTCCTTGCCCCGTTCAAGACTGCGCGACGGCAGGTAGAGTGTATCCGAGTGTACGCTTGCTTGTTTACACGATTCCGACGGGCTCTGCGCGGTGTCTTGGCGGCGGCCGAGCGGAATGGTAAAAGCCGCGGTAATTCGAGAATTCTCGACGCGCGCACGAATCGGCAGCGAAGGCAAGAGCGATAAGCAAGAGCTGCCAATTTCGCGAACGCGCATAATTGAGGACACGACGCGGCTCGTTCCGCGTTTCAAGGAAAAATACGCTGAAAAGCGCGAAATTAACCCGAGCAATCCGAGCCGTAAATCGCACAAGAGGTGGTATAGCGGCTCGAACGGCGAAAACCCCGTGACTCCTCCGCCGTCTTCTGCCGTGCGAAACATCGAAACCGTTGCCAATTTGCAATTGCCAATTCTCGGAATCGGAAATATTTTTAGTGTCCGCGTAACAGTCGCGCTTTATGCGATGCATTCAAAACGCACGTCTGCTCGCCCCAATACGGTAATCTTGGACGCTAATCTGCCACGGAAGATACGTGTGAGATACACATTCGACGATTTCCACGCTCTATTTTCGGAAGACAAATCGATGTAGTTGCGATACAAGACGAAGCATTTCATGATATAAAGTTTATACCAAGAAAATTACGTGCAATTTTCTTAAATAAAGGTACTTGTTTCAAAAATCCTTCGTACTCACCATCTTCAAAGTCTCCTCGGGCCTCAACAGATAGAACATAGACTGTAAGTGTTGCTGGATATCGCATCCTGCTGCCGAGACTCGCCTCGAGGGACGAGCCCTTTCGTTCGGCGGTAAAACCAGGGCTGCGCCCTTGCCCGCGAAGTAACATTCGCTCAAACTGCAAAAAATAACAAACAATAATATTTTAATAAGCTGTTCTGATAATTTAATTACAAATAAAATTCAATATCTATAGGACAATATTTTATAATCGCAAAATAATTTAAATGCATAAAAAAAATTAAAAATAGATTCAAAATCTATTTTTTAATTGAAATTCTATTTTGACATGATTTTCGATCTGTTGAAAATAGATTGACAAAAACATTTTCTGATTCAGATAGAATTTCAATTTTAATCGAGGAGAAGATTTTCCACTTTTGTTTCAATAAAATTATATTAATCGAGGAATATAGATTGATAAGTTTAGAAAAATAATTATCATCATTTCTATCTTCCATTCCTATTTCAATAAAACTATAGAGATTGATAAGTCTAGGAAAATCATGATTTTCCTCGCTCTATCAACATATATCGATATATATGCATATATATTTAATACAGCAATTTAACACAAGAATGGTTAGTGAATTTGTTAATTAATCGATTTTTTTAAACGACAAATATTAAAATATTCGGCAACAAATATTAAAATGTCGATGGCAACATTTTTTTAATGCTTCTACTACTGAATCAACATATCCAAAAGGAAATATTGTCATTTAAATATTGCGAATTTTCAACAATTTTAACTCTCAACTGGAGCTCTGGGTGTAGTACACCCAGAGAATTTCCAAAAATAAAATTAAAAGATTTTCTTTTTCTTTTCTCCTGAATATCTTGAATATTTTCAATTTCTCGATTTTCGCAACCATTTATTCTTCTTTTGAACAATTTGACAAATCGATTAAAAAAAATTGTTCAAATTCTATGCATTACATACAAAGGATATACGCCATTGAAAACGTTGAGGGTGTTGCACACCCAGTGCTCCAAATTCGGGAAATATAGATAGTGCTCCAGCTGAGAGAGAGAGAGAGAGAAAGAAAAAAATTAAAAATGATAGTATTAGTATTCCATCCACGTGAGAGGATTTAAAGAATGATTTCTTAAGCGATAAATTATCGCGCTCTTATCTCGATAAATACAGAACGTTTCTTTTATTCTAAGTTGCTGAGAAACGTTGAATGGTAAGTTCAAGGAACGTTCAAGAAATCAATACGCGGGATTGATAAGGAAATAAAAGAGAACTTCCGGTGTAATTTGATAACTAGTTTGAGATAGCTGTCGATTTTAATTTTCAATATCAAGATAACTGAAACACTAACCGTTTTAGTCAGCTGGTTTTGTCGGCGCCGCAATTAGCAACTCGCAGTAGACTGTCGAATTAATTAACTACTACTATGGTCGACTATGAGATTGATACGAAATCGTACTCGACGAATATCTCATTGAAAGTATTGAAACACTCGGATCATTCATAATTGAAAATACTTAATTCGTGCGCGTATAAACTTCGGCCATTTTAGTTGAAGTAATATTATACTTCCAAAATAGTCACGAAAAACGTAATAGAGATAAAATCAGATATTTTAGAGCGTTTTGTATATCGCCTTCAAGCTGCTTTAATTTTACCATGTCACTAGCACTACTTATACTAATCGACATCAATTAGCTCGCTTTAATTAGGCGCTTGCTTAGAATACAATCTAAAATATTTATGCGAGATCGCATGGGGAGAAATACGTTCATGGCATTATACGCGGTGCATCGACCAAGCAGGATCGTTCCATGAGAACACACCTAATCTACAAATCGAATCTAGCGTGTACACACATGTAAAGATAATGCACAAAAGGTCGACGCACGGTGCCATGCTCAGCCAGTTCTTCCCGCAAACGTTATTTCACATGTTTCACCCGTAAATTAATGTCGGTCGAACGCTTTACCTATTATATTTACGCCGCGCTTCATCATTACCGCGAGCGATTGCTCTCTCGGTGTCTTAGTATAATGAGACGATAGGCGTCGTTCTACGCACGTACGCACGCACGCACGCGTGTGCGCGCGTACGCACAGACTCTCTTCCACGACTGACAATCGCGTGTCTAAATCACGCGCGCGCGTGTGTGTGTGTGTGTGTGTGTGTGTGTGTGTGTGTGTGTGTATGCGCGCGCGCGCGTGCGTATATGCATCGCGATTACGCCGGCAGTGCCATTTTCTCATGGTAAGTAAACCGTCACACATTTTCATATGATAATGACTACTGACCAGACGACGCACATACATATGCCATTCAGAATACGCGAACTTCCGCTATCGTGCGCCAACAATAGAAAATTTCTCCGTTGAGACTTTACCACAAGATATAATATAAGTATACGCAATGTATATTTTATCTCGCAATATTTATACAACGTGCGAATAATTGTCTCCGCAATCACACACGTAACGTTACATTTCATAATTGATTCTATTGTTTTTACTACTTTTAAAACATAAATAATTATAAAATATAATTCGCGTTAATAAAAAATGCATATTTTTACAAACGTTTGTAGATAATACTTATAATTTATTATTTATTAATACAACTATTATTTATTAATACAATTCATGGTAATTATATGTTTTAAACCAAGCTTGATCAATAAGAAGTCTGCTGCCAAAAGTTGACAAGAATCTATATTGTAGTTGTGGAGATCTTTAATAACAACCAATTTGGCTCGATGAAACGCATTCCCCCCAATTTTTTTGCCAACCTTTGGTTGGCAGTAGTCGATTGTAAAAATAAGTTTATTTAAGTAATATCAATTTTTACTCACAAGGGAACCTCGCGAAGTGTCAAATTCTGATTTTAATGAAACTTGGTACACTTTGAGGTCACATAAATAAATGAATTTAGAAGTTATCAGTTGGTGCTAAAAAACGGTTTAAAGAAATGAATCCACCCCTTATATGTAAATTAATTCTTTTTCTCTTTCGTTATATTTCGAAAACTATTCAAGATATCAAAAAATGTTGTATACAAAAGTTTTACAGTAAAATTGTCTTTATTCATTTACGTTAATAATATATTTTTTAATAATTATATTAAAAAAATTTTTTTTAAATAATCATTAAAAAAAAATTCTATTAACGTTAAATTCATCTATTTAGATGACCTCAAAGTGTACCAAGTTTCATTAAAATCAGAATTTGACACTTCGCGAGTCTTTCCCTTGTCAGTATCTCAACTTTGCACAGCAATTTTTCCCAAAATTCACATATTATATAAATTTTCATTTTATCAATAAGCATGATTTTACCGTATTCAATGGAGAGAACAATCTTTCTTTCCTGGACAGAATTATACCAGGTCCATGTCATTTCCAGATTACATTGAATAAATTATAAATATACCGTACCAACGATAACCACAATGAACACGACAATGATAAACGAAAAAATCCGCGCCGTGCAACCAAAATGAAAATCTATCACCATCACAATCAGCAGATCGATGTTTGATGCCTCTCTCTAATTATGTTATCTAGAGTCACGACGGATACTTTCACACGACCGGATTACCTTACCGTGACGCGGCTCAATTACGCGCACGAGCTTATTAACAAATTGGGCCAACTCAATCTCACTCGACATTCTCTTAATATTCACTGTAAAATCGAGATCAGATTGGTCTTCTGATCATGATTTTTAATAGTCCATTCGATAGTCACGCGCAGTCTATATACAGATTCAATTATCAAGCGTAATATACAGGATGTCGCAGAATTGATGAAAAGTACAACTCACAACGCTTCTAATCTCCTTGAGACAATCTCTTTTCAGCGGAAATACTGAAGGTGAGAACATTTTTTTCGTAATTTCAGATTCAACAGCCGATATTTTATCAAATAGATAATATTGATAAGTATTCTTAATATTTTACAATTTATTGTTAACTATTGTTTTAATGTCTAACACTGATCGAAGATAATAAAACCAACGTTAAAAAATAAAAATAGCTTGTTATCTCTTTTGATTGTATTAGATTACATTGAAAAGTGAATATTGAATATTCTATGTGTAAATCATTACTGTCTATCTAATATTATTAACGTACAATTCAAATTACACTAGATAGCATGCTTTATCATAAATGAAAAGATGAATTAATCCATTCAGCTTCTTTTTGCATTAGAAAGTGATACACGTTATAACGACTTGATCATTACATATCTCATTATAGTCGACTCCGACATTAAGCCGTATCTGGAAGTTTTCCTGTTTTTTTTCAATATCTCAAAAAGAAAGGGATCGCTCGCGATAAACTTCGTGGATCGCGATCTTAACTTGTGGCAAAGAAAAACGATCACATGATTGATAATTCACAGTTTTCTAATGATTTTATAATGACGGAGTGTAGTAATTATTATCTGACGGTTTTATAATAGTTGTCAATTGTACCATTAAAAATTATCGCAAGGTCTCACACGTTTATTCCACTGTCGGCCAATTACCACGATCGTTGTTAATTAATAAAAGAAGTTTCGCGATACACCATCGCCTTGTATACTCCACATCGCATTCGTGCGTATATATGTTTATATATATATATATATATATATATATATAAGTAAGTGAGCGAGCAATTCGCAGAACGTTAAGCAGGATCATAGCGAGCTCATCACGCGAAGACACGTTGCGTCGTAAACGTAGTTTACAATGCATTTTACAGCAGTACCGGCTTTTTACAGCTGGCCGCGCCAGCTAGCGCGGAATTTCGCCCTGGCCGCCCGTTAAAGATTCTCAAGGTTACGAATCGTTCGGCGCTTTACGATAGACGCGCGCGCGCTTGGGCTCGCTCGACCGCGCGGCGCATAACTGCATAATTAACGAGAATGATCGGCCAAATAAATTGCGACGGCCTGCTCAAATAACGCCGGCGCGTCTGATCTCGGGCTGGAATAAGAGGAAACCAACACGCGCATCGAGAGAGCGTTTAAGTATCGTCGCTGGCACGAACGCGCATCGCTGCTCACTATTTTCATATAGCACGGGAATATTCCGTGGCCATTATAAATATCCAACTCATTAGCAAATATACTGAACTTTAAATATCCCACAATAAATTAG